CTGTGGAAGAACTCACTGCGCCTGCCCTAATGCTGGGCCGATTCAGCATTGACAGTGTGAGTGGGAAGTGGCAGGGCAGAAACAGAGAAGGAGACCCAGGCCAGGCCAAGGCATTTGTCCAGAAATGGAAGTGAGGACCCCACCGTCTGGGCTGGGGTCGGGAGGGTGGGGAAGGGCTTTGCCTGAAGGAAGCCTGCAAGTGAGTCTGAGAGCCCCCGCCGATGTAGGGTAGCAACCAGCCAGTTGCCAGGGGTGCTGGACTTTCTCAGGGACCGAGAAGCCAGGTGAGACTCAGGACAGCCATAGCGTGACCCCAGTCTCATGGCTTGGAAGTGAGGATACACCTGGGAGTTCAGATTTCTGAGCACCCCAGGCAGGACCTAGCAGAGGGTCTGGTTTCAAGCAGGAGAACAGGAGAGTTCTCATTGCCTTGCTTCCACAGAAGTGCAGCGGAAACATCCTCTTTGATCCCTAGAGCAGCTGAGATAAGGCCTAGCAGGCCAGAGTCCCCTGCAGTTGGAAGCAGGTTCACAAACACGCTGGGGTGGCTCTGTTACAGGCCTGTCTGTGTCCCATCCCCCTGGGGCCCCACCCCTTGAAACCGCAGGTGGCCTCCAGGGCATAGGTGAGGCATCCCTCCCTTGAGGACCAGGCCAAACCCCACCCCACTGGGGCCCAGGGGCCTGGAGCAGCAGAGCCATGTTGCCTAGGAAGAGGGGGAGCAGGGGAGCTGAAGGCAGGGGCCGAGTCTCACGGTGTCCAGAGCGGATGTGGCTTTTGTTGCCTTCCCTCCATGTCTCCACATGCTCTCTTGACATGAAGTGCTAGTACCCCGCCCCAGGCAGGCTCTCCCGAACGTCCTTCCCAGGCCTCAGTTTCCTCCTCTGCTGACAGTCTGATACTGTGGGACCCATCTGGGTTCTGGGCACAGACGGTGTGGATTGGAATCCAGGCTCCATGCTTTTTAGCTGAGTCATCAGGGGCAAGCGCCCTGTACCAACTGAGCTTTGCTCACCTGGTCTACAAACAAGGTGCTGTGGTGGGTAGTACGTGTGGGGGGTTTGGCACAGCCCCTGCTGCAGAGTGAGCACCTGAGACCTTGGTTGTCATTACCTAGCCAGACTTTGAGGTTCTTCCCAGTTCTTCCCTTTTGTGAGTTTGTGGAACTGGAGGAGGGATGGCGGGCTGGATGTCTGCTTCTCCTGTTGTACTCAGTCCCTGTGTCCTTACCTCATTACCTCTCGCATCTCCCCAACTGAAATTAAACTCTTAGCATAGACTTCCTAGGCCTGCCTCCCCACTGAGCCTACAGAAGTGGGGGCTGCTACTACAATTCCCTACCCCCCAGAATATCAGCAGGAATGGTTTTCTTGGGAGCTGCCTGGAGCTAGGAAAACCACATGGCCAGCCAGCTATGCCCTTGCACTGCCTTAGACTTGGCCTCCCAAGAGATCCCTGGCGGGCAAAGACAAACGTCACTCTGCCCAGTAGGTTTAATCCTGGCAAAGGGAGTGCACCAGTTCCCTGTTCTCCTGCCCTTGTGCCCACTGGCATAAGTGGGGAGAGGTCAGTGCCAGATTCCGATGACTTTCATGCATCCTCACCATGGAGGGTTAGTCGTGTCTAAGTTAAGTGAGGGCATTACATCTGAAAGAGACAAAGGCTCCATGGGTGTTTCCACAGGGCTGCTGAGGAAATCTGTACCCTGCAAACATGACAACTTGGGAATCTGTGCAAATGGTGTGAAAGAAGACCAAATGGTCCCAGAGGATGACAGCCTGGGGCATGACCCAACCCCACCAACCATCGGGATTCACTTCCAGAGGAAAGGACTCCACCTCTAACCAGGCCCAGGACTTTTTCTTGTCTTTGGCAGTTCCTGCCTAAAACTTCCAGAGACCTGAGGAAGCTCTTATCTTGCGCACAGCCCACTGACAGATGTTGAAGACTGATATATCAAGAAGGGATGGTTTGCCTCTGTCTTCCCTGAAGATCTTCTGCCGCCATGACCCTCTCTATGGGCAGCTGACATATTAGCCTCTCTCTTTCTTCCTGTTGTCAAGGGAGCTAAATGAGTAAACCAGCCCAATCAAAGTGACACGTTGGAGTAAGGCAACGAAATGCCTATGACTAACCAGAAATGCCCCCAAATGTCCATAAATTTAGCAGGAGTTCTAGGTGGTATGACCAAGCCCGAATTTTTTTCCTTTAAACTTTTTAATGTTATGTTAATCACCATACATTGCATCATTTGTTTCTGATGTAGTGTTCCATGATTCATTGTTTGTGTATAACACCCAGTGCTCCATGCAGTACGTGCCCTCTTTAATACCCATCACCAGGCTAACCCATCCCCCCACCCCCCTCCCCTCTAGAACCCTCAGTTTGTTTCTCAGAGTCCATCGTCTCTCATGGTTCGTCTCCCCCTCCGATTTCCCTCCCTTCATTCTTCCCCTCCTGCTATCTTCTTCTTCTTCTTTTTTTTTCTTAACATATATTACATTATTTGTTTCAGAGGTACAGATCTGTGATTCAACAGTCTTGCACAATTCACAGCGCTCACCATAGCACATACCCTCCCCAATGTCTATCACCCAGCCACCCCATCCCTCCCACCCCACCCCCAATTTGCCACTTTACCCCAATGGAAAGTGGTCCTTAATGACGATGTTATCACAACTCCAACAAAACAAATCTTTGACTTCCTAGCTTCCTTAGCCAAGAGTTTCCACCATTAGCGCTTAGACTGAAACTCTTGGGAATGAGCCACAAAAGCATTGGCAGACCCCAAGAATGACCTTAAACTATTATGCCCAAATTTGGCTCCCATTATACTGATGTTGGTCTGTTCGGCCACTGACTGGCTAATGAGTTAGTGTCAGCTGCCGTCACAGTTACTGTCTCCCCTTCAGGCCTGGGCCGAGGTCCATGGCGGGGTGTGATGGGACAGCTCGGAAGGTCTGGTTCTATCCCACACTGCTTTTCCAGGCCTGGTCCCCAGAACCCAGCTCCCTTGTGATGGGGGGTGGGTAGAGTTTGGGAGTTCCTCCCTAGACATTTCAAGGAGTTGGTCCCGACTGTTTAGGACCTCCTGGGATAAGAAGAGCTAGAAGAGGTCAGGACTCCGCCTTGGCTTTGGAGACTGGAAGCTAATGGATGGAATTCCTCTCCCACTTTGATAGCTTTTAAGTGATGAGCTAACTTCACATATTAGAACTTGCAAGATTGCCACGGCTACCTGGGACTTCAGCATACCCGCTGCGTACTGTCAGGGGTTAGGTTGAAGGACAAGAGGAGAGCGGAAAAGTCAGAAGCAGTCCCTCCCATCCCTCCTCAGTGCGCTGTACCTGGTTTCACGCCACATTCAGACATCCTTAGCTAGAGAAGCCACCCTCTTAAAGACCTTGCCAAGCCCCCATGTAGAAGCCACAGAAGGCTAGCCACCTTAATCCCATTCTCCTCAGTAAGGGCTGGGCCTTGGAGGAGCTGGGAAAGGTCATCTCATCCATTCCTGTACCCCCAGGTGAGGCTACCCTTGAAAAATCCAGGTGGACCTTTTAATGGGCAGGGCTTGAGACTGGGGTCTCTCCGGGCAATCACAAGCAAAAGGCCCACCTGGCAGGAGGCCACCTGCTACTCACAGGACATGTCCAAAATCAGGCAACAAAACTTCCTGAGCTTGGCAGGATATGGCAGACTGATCCTTGCCCATTTTCTAGTTTTTCCATCATTTTCTCACTCAGCCTTCCCATCCCCACCAGGGGCCCACACATCCTTTCAGAGGGCTGGGCCCAGGGAGGGGATCTAAGTCCAAGCGGTTTCTGGGACTAAAACTGGGGAGAAGTGTCCACAGGGCTTGGCTTCCCTGAGTAACCCCCTTACTGCCCCGACCTCACTGCCTAGATGATGCTAGGGCTATCAGCTGATTTCCCTGGGCCAGCCTGACTACTGCGGGCTGCTGTTTACACCTGAGGGCCAGGGGCGGAGAGTGGGGGAGACATGAACTCTCACCCTCAGTCATTCCTTTGGCTTAGGCCTTATCTGAAGAGGGCATTGTCATATGGTGGCCGTTCCCAACCTGAGGGTTTCAGAACACCCTTCTGATCAAATATACTCCCTCACAGAGATTTGGTGTGCCTCAGCTCAGCCAGAGCCCTGAAGATAAATGGAGGAAGGAAACCTGCTCCATATGAGGTCGTCCAAGGTTTCCCTAACACTTTTGTGCATAGACCTGTTGTATAGTACCCGGCAGGGCTTGTATTCAGCACCAATGTAGTTGGCCATCAAAATAGCAAAATACTCTTGGATGGGCAGGTAAATAGGCCCGAGTCCATCCCTAGTGTCCTCCAGCCACCCCAACCTCTGCCTCTCAGATCTGTCCCCAATCCAGTATCCACCTATACGGTCCAGTATGGTAGCCACTGACCACATGGGGGTATTTGCATTTAACGAATTAAAAATTCAGCTCCTCCATTGCACTGGCCACATTTCAAGTGCTCAGTTGGCACATGTGACTTTGCCCCTGCCTTCTATAATGGACAGTACAGAGAAAGGACATGTCCATCACTGCAGAAACTGGATAGGTCATGCCCAGCACAGCAGGCCTCAGGAACCGGTTTGGGGCTGATGTCTGTGGTGATTGCCCGTGACCGTGCTGTACCAAGTGTTAACAACTTTCCGAAGTAGCATCTGAGTACATTTGGATTTGGGTTTAGCAGGACTTTCTGTTTATGGCATGTTACTCAGAACTCAAAACCTAACACTCTACAGGCCTCGGAGCCCCAGTTCAACTCACGGCCTGGTTATAAAGCCCAGGGCAAGTGACTGCATCTGCATGAGCATGTCTCTGTGCTAGGATTGTCCCTTCTTCCTGTCATCTTCTCTGTGAACATAACTACAAGGGTTCTGCAATAGGTGCATGTCACTCTGCACCCCTCAATCAAGTTCAGGCAGGACGCCCAGAATGAGTCCCTCAAAATGTCTCTATCAAAAGTAAAACCATCTGCAGTTTATCTCTAAATAAAAGGCCACACCCTTTATAAACAATTAACTTTTTATAAAAAGACAAATGTACATATTTACACACATGTACATATGTGGTCATACATGACTTAGTGGTTAGATGGCATTTCCAATTTTAAAAATCACACCAAGACGCTCACACTTCCCTCCCAGGGCCTGCTGAGGGCTGCCGGGGCCTGCCTGAGCAGGCGGGTGGGCGCAGGGCAAGGCACGGTATAAATAAATGCAAAGGCTGAGAGCTTGGGGGGGGACATTAGTGTACACCTCTGATCAGAAAAGTGGCAAGGTCCACCAGAAAAAGTGCCATGTTTTTTCCCAAGCCCCTCAGCCCGAGCAGGGCGGAGCTCCTCTGAGGCTGAGGGAGCACTGTCCTGCAGGGCCCCGTTTTCCTTCACATTTCGCTGGCTTTGGAACAGGCCCCAGGGCTCAGCTGGGAAGGGGGGGGGTTCCTTTGGGAACAGGATTCACTTAGTGCAATAGTCTCTTAGTGCAGAGCCGGCCCTGGCGTCGGCGCTGTGCTTTTCTGAGGTCACTGGTCTGTTCCCTTGGGCCACCTCAGTGACAGCGAGACCCTCTCGGCAGCTGGGCTTAGAGGGAAAAGCTGGAGGCTGATTCCTCTCTGAGACCTCCACCTGACACGTCCATCTCAGAACCCCATCTTCCCAGGAGGCAGGGCCAGCTTTACCCCGCAAGATGAGCCCAGACCCTGGCCTGACAGACCCCAAGAGGTCACGGTCCTAAGGAGGGAGGCCCCATCCCTGCTCAGCAACGGAGTCATACTCTGCCATGTTAAGCAGCCCACAGGAGTCCTGTTTCTTCACATCACAGCTACCATGATGCCAGGTCCTGCTCGCCTAGGGGAGTAAAAAGGGGCCGGGGCCCAGCTATGGCGCACAAGGAATGGCCTGGATGGAGGGCAGCCTGACTGGGGGCAACAGGCTGTCCAGCCAGCTGGTGTCCATGTTCTTCAGATCTGAAGATATCAGTCCAATATACCCTAGAAGATGTGAAGAAGGTTGTATGAGGATGGACGGTGAAGGCAGGTGTGTTCTCCCGCCCCCTCAGCCCTATTCCGGCAAGCCACAGTCACAGCCGCCTTTGCTGCCCGCCCCCACTGCCACGTTAAGCCCCCTCATCTTTAGGCAAACCTGAGTACTTGGGAGCAGCAGCTGGTTCGCAAGCTGTCTGTACCAAGAAGGTTTAAGAAAGATGCTTTGCCTCTGCTGCTCCCTGGCCCAGTCCCCCAGCCCTTTCCCACCCCCTGCAAGGTTCTCCCTTGTCAGAGAAATCCTATGGCTCTGGGAACTTCCTACCTCCAGGGCTGTCAACTTCTGGCTCCTCCTTGCAGCTGAAGTCTCCGTAGAGAGAGGCAGGCTGAGCCCCGGGTTCATTGAGCAGGTACCCCTTCCCATCCACGTTTGTCGGCTGCCACCCTGTCTGCTCCAAGAGCTGCGGACAGAGGAGGAAGGAAGCCGTCAGCTTACTCCCAGTGCAGACTCATCCTCTGGCCCTGCCTTCAGTAAGCCAACGCTTCCCTGCCAGCCTCATACCCTTGGCCCCTTGCACATTCTCAGATGGATGCAGATGCGGAATGCGGTCACGACGGGGGCCTGGGGAGGGAGGCTCTGCCCTGAACTCCCACTCCCACACCTACCCTCCAAGACGTTCCCCCTCAGCGGCGGGAGGACAGACTGACTGGGAATGTGGCTTAATGCAACGGTTAGCATCATGAGTCAAGATGTCTAGAAAAGCTCAAGATAAAGAGCTGCGGCTAGGTCTCAAGTTTTCTATGCTGATGAAACAGAGCCTGGGTACAACTACATCAGAAACGTTTCTATATTCACTTTTAAAAGTGAAGCAGGAAAAAAAGAAAAAGGAAAAAAAAACCTGGAGAATAATTTGCTTTAAAAAAAAAAAAGGGAAAAAAAAACCCCATCAGATTACAGATCCCAAAGGCTGAATATGAACACCTGATGTGCACTCCCTAACCAGCCCTAACCAGCGGGGCAGCAGGCCTGGGCCGTGCTGGGGCAGAGGGCGCAGGCCAGGGACCCGGCAAGGCTGGCGGCTGACTCGGCACCGTTTCAGGCCCTGGGGCTTTGCTCTGGGACAGCCGGTCAGAGAGCAGGCCTCGCCCCTGCCCCCACTTCCACGGTGTCTCTCCCAGCAGCCGAGGAGGACACCGTGCGTGCGGCATCCGGCGGACCCGCAAGCAGCCCGGTCATAGGAGCAGCTGCTTACGCCCCCCGACTGTCGGCTCTGAGTGGATCTCTCTCTCCTAAGCAGCACCCACTTCGAAAGAGTGTCCAGGGAGGAACGGGCTTTACCTTCATGATGTCCTCCGTTAACTTCCCTTCTTCGTCCTCATCCGTCGTGGCTGTGGGTGGGGGAGAGCAGAGAGGTTGGCTCGGCCCTGCAGCTCCTGCACCACCAGCACCCCGGCCCTTCACGCGTGCACACCCATGGCCTCGCAGCAGACAACTGCTGGCCCCGGCGAGGCCAGAACAGGACACGGTGCTGGTGACTCGGCCTCCCAAACCCTCGAGCCACACCTCTTCCCACCACCCGCCCCTGCTTCCTTCCTCACCCCCGGAGCCTGGGTTTGCAGAGGAGCCAGGAAAATAAGCAGTCTTAGAGCAAAGTGCAGCCCCTGGCCCCAACCTCTTTTCTCCGGCACAACACAGTCAGCTCCATCAGCGCCCGGCGGAGCTCTGAGCCTCTTCGCTCCCTCAGGAAACCCCTCCCAGGCCCCAAAAGCACATACCTTCCGAAGTGGAGGGCATGGGTGACACCTGGAAGTTGTACAGGTCACTGGTGCTATCGGGCACAATTTCCACTGGGATGCGCCAGTCAGGGAGAGTACTAGTAACAGCACACGGGGACAGTGCTGAAGGACAGCAGGAACCACAGGTCAGAACCGCAGGCTTTCTTGGTTTGCAGGACACCCAGCCGCCCCGGCCCTGCTGCCTGCTCCAACGGGCCACCGTCCGCAAGCACAGGGCCCCCCTCCTAGACCCAAGAGGAGGAGCCGTCCCCGTGACCTGTGTGCTCTCCTGCCAGACCCGGCCCACCTCACCTGGAGTTAGGTCCCGCTCAGCCTCCAACTCCTGCCCTAGATAGCCCTGTGCGGTGTAGCTGCTGTGGTCATCGGGCAGGGTGGAGCTGCTGAGTCCATCGGAGAAGGTATCGGGACTGGAGTCACCGCATGACTGCAGCAGGAGAAAGGAGCTTAGGCCCACACTTGCTGTGGCACTTCTTCTCCTGCCCACCCGGACTCCCAGGTGACCAAAGACTAGCAGCTCAGGACCACACTCACCTTCCTCTTGGCCTTGCTCTTAGCATCTCGGCTGGACTTGGACTTCCTCTCTGTGAGGCAGATAGACTGTCAGTCTTGGGACAGGCACAGCAGCCCCAGCTGCCCTTCTTACTTCCTCCCTCCTTCCCTCCCTCCCTCAGAGTTTCTCAAGGACCCAGAGCCCTTGGATACCTTTCCTCTGGTTCTTGGTGAGGGGCGGGAGCATCCGGTACACCCGCACAGCTGAGCTGCCTTTGTTCCTGCTCTGGTCCTTCACTTCCTCAATGTCTGGCAGGGAGTTCATGGCACAGCGGAAGTTGGCCTTCCATGTCTTGGGATCTGGCTCCTTTTCCCCTGCTTTGTATCGGCCTAGTGGGCAAAAGAGGCAAGACGACTGTCAGGGCCATGGGTGGGGATCCTCAGCTGCCCCCTGGCCTGGAAGGAGGAAGGCAAGAGTAGCCCTGAGCTCTCATGCTGCCAGAGACCCACACTGGCCAAACCACTGGCATTCCTGGGTGACCCTCTGCCGGCCCTGGGGCTTCTCAAATGCCCGGGCTCGGCTCAAGACACATCCAGCAGGCCTTTCTGAAGGGCCCAGCCAGAAGCACTAGAGGGCCCATATGTCCTAAAGTGCTGCACTGGTGCTAGACCATGACCAGTCTCCCTGCTTGGGCTGTCAGTAGCCAGAGAGCAAGTAGGGGCTAGGGTTTATCTGATATTTCCAAACACAGGAGTGGACAAAGAGTAGGCATCAAAGAACAGTTACTGATAGGTGTGCTGACTGATCTGAGATGGACCAAGAGCCCCAACCCTCAAGGATAAAAGGAGGCTGCTAACCAGATGGGCCTTGGGCCAGGACCTTGGTGAACATCAAGAAAATGAAAGGCCTGGGTCTCTTTCAGTATCCAGGCTCACAAGTGCTCTTGCCAGGGGGAGCTTTCATCCAGCCACCAACTCCCTGAAATCATACTTTCTAAGATACTGACTTCACAAGTTCCTTTACGAACTTGCTGAAATGATGGACCTTTCCCCCAGAAATACAAGCGTGCTCCCTGCTCACCCCCAAATTCTGTACACAGTCTCAGGGAACTCAGAGACCCCAATGAAGAACCTCTGTATTAACAGAAGTGACTCCCCTCGTCTCCTCCCTGGCCCCTCCAGGGCTAGAGACCAGGGCACACACCTGTGTGAATGGCCCAGCTTCGGAACAGACAGGCATCCTTGTTGATGTCCCAGCCATGCTTGGCAGCATGCTTCCATGGAATCTGGAAGATCATCTCCTCCTGGATGGCACACACACACACACACACACACACACACACAAGGCTGTGTCAGCTCAGAGGCCACAGGCTTTTTGCATGAGTCTGCCCAGCCCCCCAGGTCTGGGAAAAGGCTGACTTCCCCTTTTCACCCTGACATCTGGCTTGGGTTGACCCATCCTAAGAATGGCTTAAACAGACTACTCTATCGCTCTCGATCTCTCAGAAGGGGCTCCGGGTTCTGAGGAGCTATGGCAACATCAGCTCAGCAAAGACCTCCCTCTGGCCGTTACAGATGTGCTGGGACCCATACAGGGCACCTTGGGATGCTCTCTGGCTTTCAGCACCAACAAGCAGGTAAGAACTCCATCCATTCTACGGGGCTGCTTAGGACACCTGGGGCCGCTGGCTCCTACACAGGGGCTCCTGGCCATATACCTGAGGGAGCCCCGGGCCAGCCTTGGAGGCCGACTACCTGTGTGACGCCTGCACTGTCACTATACCTCCTGGTCCCTCACTCGTTTCTGTGAAACAAGAAATCACAGTGACACGTATAAAGACTTAAGTCTCACTGTTGTTATTACTGGTGGTTAACACTCTGGATCTTTGAGTCTGACTGTTCAGGTTCGAATCTTGGCTTTCTCACTTCTTGTGTGATCTCGCTGTCAGCCTCTCAGTGCCTCAGTTTCCTTATCAGAAAATGGAGATATTAACAGGATCTACTTCACAGGGCTACTGTGAGGATTCAGTGACACAGTGTAAGTAACAGACTTAGCACACAGTGTCACACTCGCTCGTAGGGAGTGTACAGTAAGCATGAGCTATCGTTACGGATATTATTATTACTTCCAAGTCTGCAGGGTCTGTGTTGCCCTTTGTGCACCAGCATGAGGTTTCCTGGGCCTGGGCCAACAGTGCGAGGTTACTTCTTGGGTCCCTTGCTGAACCAGCCATTCTTCTTGCCAGTAGTGCCCAGCGCCCTGTCTCCTGTCTGATTGGAACCCTGTAGGATGCTGTGTGTTTGGAGGGGTCTCCCTCAGAAGAGATCAGAACCCTGGCTCTGCAGATGCTCGGAGGGTTCTGCTGCTAGCAACGGTCAGTGCCCTCAGGAGAGTGCCCTGTCCATGCGGAAGAAGGAAGGAAGGCAGAAGTTGGCCAAGTGCGGTCCAAGGTTGGGCCTTGCATACTCCCTGCATGCAGGACCCACTGGGAAACCCATCTGCCTCCTCCCCATCACTTCCCTTTTTGAGCTGCATCTGAAGCTTTGGTCCCCCAAAGAACATGTGTTAAAATCGTGGCAGAAAAACCCATAAGGTTACACTCACTTTATTGATCCAGGTCAGCCCTGGGATTTGGTTGGAATTAATCTGCATCTCTAGCCAGGGTCTCATGCGCATCCGAGTGATGGGCATGTTGGCTGTAAAGAGAAAACAGAGGCTCCTGTTTGGAGTCTGTAGGGCAGCCCCTTAGGCACTACCTGCTGGCCACCCCTCACCACCCCCACCTCCCCTCCCCCTGCCAAGGTCATTCAGTTACTTTCCTCTGCCTTCCACCAGGTACCAAGTACTACAATCATGGGGGAAGGGGCTTTTACTGTTACAAAACTGCCCTCCAAATATTTTCATCATCTCGGGCAAAAACACTTAAGCCCCTTCCCCCACACTCCTCTAAACACTCTTGGGAGGAAACAGGCATGCAAGTGATAGTTTCAGGATTTATGTGCAGGAAAAACAGATAAAATACAAAGATATCTTAATACCAGAACTCTCCTCCCCAAATTCAAATCTTCGGAGAGGCTTCTTTTGGCTGATGCCAATAAATTCCCGCACTTGAGTTGCTGCCACTACCACGAGCTGTGCACCTTCCCCAGTAGCAAGGAGTCACCCTGCACTCTACCCGTCTCACCCCCCACCCCCCATCTATTCTACGCCGCTCCCAGACAAGGTACCCCTCCCGGCCTGGCTCCCCTCCTCCGCGAAGTAGCCGAAGGAACACCTGTGGCGCCTCTTCCCGTAGCCCCAGCAGGTCCGCCAGCCATCCCCGGCAGCAAGTCCCAGCCCCCCAACACCTGCACATACAGCCTGAAACCTAAGGCCTGGGCGCGGAGCTGGGATCGCCGAAAGCCCTCGCGGAGAGCACGGGGCGCCCACGCGCGGACGTACACTCGAGGCCCCGGCATCGCTCACGGATGCGCGCGACAAACCTACCGAGCCACCCAGAGGCCCGGGTGGCTCCGCGCACAGAGATCTGCGACAGCGGCCGGGCGCCGGCAACCTCGGCTCGTGGGCGGTCCACGCCGCGCGGCACGCCCTCCCCGCGCTGCCGCTCCTCCAGCGCCCTCCCGAGCCCGCGCGGGGGCCCAGGCAACGCCGCGCGCCCGCGACTCTCCCCGCTGGGGTGAGTCGGCCCCCACTTCCTGGTGCCCCGCGCGCCTTTGTTCGACGCCACCGGTCCCCCCCGCGGCGAAGGCGGGCTCACCTCCGCAGCGGGCGCGATCCAGCGGCGGCGCCCGAAGGTCCCGGCGCGGCTGGGGCAGCGGTGTCGGCGCTGGGAGCGCAATTCCGGGAGGCAGCGGCGGGAAGGCAGAGGATGCCCGGGTCGAGGGGCCGTTGGGCACGGCTGGCCTTGGCTTGGCACGGCTCCCGCTGGCCTCTGCTCGGCCCGGCTTGGGCGCACGTCCTGCCTCGACGAAGGAGTGGCGCGCTCTGCCGGGGCAGCGGCGCCGGCGAGAAATCTAAACACTTAGCGGGATTCCCCCAACCCAGGCCCGGCCCCGCCTCCTAAAGAGCCGCGAGGGCGCCTATTGGTCGGTGCCGCCCCATCATTTCGGGGAAATCAGGCTGTTGTAGAGCTAGCGGCGAAGGGGAAGTACAGGGCGGCTGCTCCTCCCCACCCCCTCCGGCCCGGCGCCGCCGCCCTGGGGCGACCGCGGGTCCGCCCCGTCCGCTCCCACTCCACCCCCGCACCAGCTAGCCTGGGAGAAAGCTGTCCTGGAAAGCCGAACGCCCCCGGCCCGCAGTTACTCCCCTCACTCCGCATTCTCCCAGCCTGCTCGGTCCTGTGGCCATCTTCTCTCCCTCCTCTCCGGGGATGCGTGTCTTCTGAGCGCAGGTGAGGAGGTCACCCGGGCACCTGCCGTCCTCTTCAGAGTGAACATACCGGGATTGATTCTCCGTGAACTAGCCTGGTTCCTCAAGCCTGCTAATGGAGTGCCGAAAAGGAAGGGTCTGGGCCCTCATACTCCCCGCCCCCGCCTTGTTGAGGGGTGATCTACCTCTGGGCACTCACCTGCCTTGGGGAAGTGAGGGAAAGCCTACTGTGCCTGGGGTGCCGCCTGTGGCTGCCGGAGGAGAGGAAATCCCGGTCTGGCCACTGTTGGTGCACCTGACATGGGACTGGGAACCTCAGTCTCCTCAGCTATAAAATAAGAAGCCCTATCTTGCTGGTTTACAGCGACAGAGAAATGATGTCCGTAAAGCACCGTGCCGCACCTGGGGACAGAGATGCTGCGTGGTTTTCGAGGTCCCTGCCCAGAGCCTAACAATGACCGAGAAGCACTTCCCCCTCTTCTGGGTCTACATCCTTTGGGATTGCCATACAGCTGATCTGAGGGAAAGAGGATTTCAGAGAAGCCCCGACTGCTGAGTTGGGGTAGGACTTGGGCAGCCTTGCTCCTCCTAGCGCTCCTGCCTTAGGCCACCTCCACGGCCTCACAGGGCCCTTGCCTGGGAGCGCCTTAGTAGCAGCATTGGTGTTGCCTGGGGTCCTCAGCGCTGGGCCCAGAGAGGTTCTGGGCAGCAAGGGGGAGGTTGCTTAGGGATGGCCAAGGCCATGGATGTGGCCAAAGAGTTGAGGAACCCAGGTCCCAGTCTCTTGGGAAGGGCAGCTACTTAACCCCTGTGCTTTAACGTAGACCTTGCCCCACTTGTGCTCCTAGAGACCGGGCTGAGTGTTCATTTTCCATTCAGAACTCTGGCCCAGCAGGTTCCTTCCTTCACCTTCCCCAAAGCTGCTGACTCAGAAGTAAATTGCTCCTCCAGCGGGGCTGGTCGTGTCATTCCCTTCAACCCAGCTCTCCCTTCACAGCCTCAGCACCCAGTTGCAATGGTGCAGGCTATAAATAGACACACTGATGCAGCATTCCACCTGTCAGTCACTCCACTGCCTCCCTCCCACGGAGGAAATGGATGGGTTAATCCAATTCTGGTGCACCAGAATCTGATGCTGGGACTAACTCGAAGCTTGGTTCCCAAGAGACCTCCAAGAATGGGTCAGAGCTGTCTGCCAGAGAATGGTGGGTGCAGTTGCTTAGAGAGGCAAAGAGGCAGGAGGAACTGCGAGGAAGGAGCCTAGCTGGCTGTTAAGAAAAATGGAAGGTGCTGAAGCCCAGGAAGGGGGCGAAGGGTTGGGGTGCTTTAAATGGCAGATGGAGTGGGAACCCACTACGGAAATCAAGACCTTCGGAGCGAGAAGAGCAGAAAGCAAGTGGCTCCTGAGTTGTGAAGTCTGTTCTCCGTGCAGCAAATGGATGCTGGTCCTGTCTCAATAGCCACTGGAAAATTCAAAATGAGATCAGGGAAAGGAAGTTTGCATCTCATGCGGTCTCAGAAATTCACCAAAATGACCCTTTAAAGGCAATAGGAGCCTGTAAAAAGTGCCTTAAAACAAGAACTTTATTTTAATTCACAGATAATCATCTGTATCTGTATATCTTTCCATGTCATGAAGTGCACTTCTACAATATAATTGATAATGGTATATATTATTCTCTAATAAGGATAAATAAAAACTTACCGATTAATCTCCTATTGTAGGACATTTAGGTTATTTCCATATTTTCCTAAGACAGACAACACTGTGTAGCTAAATCTTACCCATATCAATTTTTTTTTTTTGCTTAGGAGAAATTCCCCAATGTTAGAATTTACTGATGAAATTGCCATTTAGACCTTTGAAGGGGTGTTTGACTTTTTTTTTTTTAAAGTCTAGGGATTCTTATTTTATCTTGAAGCCTGTAAGAATCTGCTTATCATGATTGGGGGTGCTACACTACCAATCAGTGAAATAAAACTATACCCTGGTTAAGTACTTCAAATTTTTGTTGTAATAGCTCTTGAATCCATTTTAAAATGTATCACACATTCCCTATGATGCTAAGCAAAACAGAGCTTCCCCTAGGTTTTTCTTAGTAATTCAGGGCCAGCCCTCTAGTCCTCTCTGACTCAAAATACTCATCTTCTGTCATTCCAGCCATCCCCTGGGGACAAGTAGCCTCCAAACACAAGCTCTGGTGGCCTCCTGGACCCTCCACTACAACCCTATCCACAGATTCAACATAGACACAAGCAGAACTCTTGGCCTCCCCTTTCTACACGGCCCCCACCAGCTTTCTCTCATCCTAATTCCAGCTGCTTCCCAGCTGAAGTCTTTCCTATCCTCCTATCTTTGCCTCACCTGGTCCTCCAGGTCTTCCCTGCATCCTCGTATTTTCACATACCAGAACCAGACTGTTACTGCCACAGCCTACCCTCCGGCCTCCCCCCATCCCTGGCAGGCTGGTCCCTCTAGGCATCTCTGCACTAGGATGATCTGCCTAACTCTGTTGATCCCCTAGACATTCAGGTCCACCAGGGGCTTCTGAGTTTCCCCAGATTCCTTAGCCCCACATTCAAGTCGCTGCTCACTCTGATTCCAGGGGTCCTGTTGCAACCTGATCTCCCCCGCCTCCCTTACCCTTGGCAGGAACTAGAGGGCAGTGGAGAGAATACAGGATTTGGGTCTGAAAGCATGGGTTCGTGTGTTTTTGCCACTTGCTATGTGGCCCTAGGCAAGTTACCATCCCTCTCTGGGCCTCTGTGTTCTCTGTAAAAAAGAGATAGTCTGCCCATCTCTCCTAATTATTATGAAGATGAAATTAGACTATCAGACTTTCTAAATGGTAAAACATGAGCAAAATGACATGTATTAACAGTAGTACAGGGTGGCTCAGGCATTAAGCGTCTGCCTTCGGCTCAGGAACGTGATCCCGGGGTCCTGGGAGCGAGCCCCGCATCGGGCTCCCTGCTCAGGGGGAAGCCTGCTTCTCCCTCTCCCACTCCCCCTGCTGTGTTCCCTCTCTCGCTGTGTCTCTCTGTCCGTCAAATAAATAAATAAAATCTTAAAAAAAAAAACAGTAGTGCATAAACCTCTCACTGCATTTCTGTTCTCTGAACACACTATTTTTCCCTTCATGTCTTTGCTCCTTCCATTTGCTCCTCATCCCTATCTTCCTCCGGTGTTTGGCAACACTCAAACCCCCCTCTCTCTCAGTCCCATTCTCCCCCTTCCTCCTCCCACCCGACACACTTCAGTGTCAGTCTCCATTTTAAGGCCCAGAGGAAATGCCTGGTCCTCTAGGAAGTACCCCCAAAGCTGCCAAACCAAATTCCTTCCCTTCCTCAGAAACCCCTGGCACTTAACTTTCATGCTGCCTTTTCTGCACTTATCACCTGGGTGGTGACCTTCTAGAGAACCAAGTCTGCATTTTTCTGCAAGAGACCTACCTGAGTAGGTTCCTCACACCCACAGGTGGAGTTAGCTGAGGTTAGCTCTGGTCTTACTCACAGCACACCTCCCATCTATACCATTACTTAATAAGGGTAATTTTCTCTGTATTAGGCCCTGGAGTTTTCTAGGCCGGCAGAGCCTCCTTTGAGGTGATTTCTTCAATAGGGATGCAGGGGGCAGGGTCACCTCTATAGGAGCCTCTGCCCTGATGAGCAATCCAGCCCGTAGCTCCCAACCTCAGGCTCTCAGAACACAATGTTCACCCTCTGGGGAGGTGGGGCTCCAGTTAGTTCTGAAGTGCAGAACTCAGCCATGCTTTCACCAGGTTTTTTAGAGTAGGGGAGCCCTGGGCCCCTATGGGGCAGGCTACCCAGAGAGAAAGCCATGGTCCCCAAAGCAGAGGAACCCACAGCATGCCTTCTAGCCTTCCAGGTCGGAAGGGAGGGCTTTCTAGGAGATGTTCAAAAGCCCTTCCAACCACCATCTCTATTTTCACAGCAAACCTGGAGGCAGGCAGTCCTAAACTGTGAAGTGCCGAGCACAAGTCAGGCATAAAATCATCAGAAAGCATCCAAAAGCTTGAAGAATCCAGCCGTCATCACTCTGCCTGAAAGTCATTTCTTCATTCATTCAACAAATACGAATCGCCCTCCTGCTCGGGGTCAGTTCCGGGTTTGGCTCAAGACTAGCCCCTCCCCTCTCACAACTCTGACAAAAATGCTGTATGACACAGCAGAATAAGCGTTGTGCTCTTACAAAAATCCTAAACACAGAGTGGGAGGCTGCAGCTGACTGCAGCTAGGGGGTCCTGAGGTGGAAGAGTGGGCCAGGAATCGCTCCAGCGCTGTGGACTGTTCCGGAACCTCGCAGGGGGAGCAGGTGTCAGTGTGGGCTGCCGCTGATGCCCTGTGCAGTTTCATTTCTTATAAACACTGGGTTGAGGGGAAAGAGGCCTCAGCTCTCCATCCGCCCCGTGGGGCCAGGGACCGGGGGCGGAGGGTGCTCTGGGGCCAGGCCTGGCGGCCACGTCCCACACTGACTCTGCATGGAAGCAGCATCCTCCCCGCCCCCCACGCGAATGGGTCCTGCAGTACCGCCTGCGCCCACTATCGTTCGCCCAGAGCGTCCCTGGCAGAATTCTAGGCTTTCCTGGGGGCAGCAGCACCCCTACTTCGCCCTGG